TGGCTGTCTGTTTTTTCATTGTGGTCTAAAGTCTTGGGAGGATTAAGAAAATAATTCTCACATAGGAAACACTCTCATTTTTATTTGGCTGCCTAATTAACCGGTTTTAAACTTCAGTACTCATGTCAGGGCACTTCTGACATGGGCTGTTTTTCCTCCTCTGAATAAATATACTCAAATTGATATTTATTTATGTTACTGTTGGATAATGCTCATGCGATATAGTTGAATTTGTGTTAAACCCTTTAATAAATTCCTATCTTAGAGAGCCAATAAGAGTGCTAGATGATGGAAATAGCAATATTTCACAGATATTTCTACATGTAAGCAATGTTTCCTGTGTCACTGTAAGGATAAGTCCTGTGTGTTTTTCCTGATTTTTTGGAGTAAAAAAAAATTTTCATCTTACTTGTACTATAATAGCAATGAAACTCCTGTGCTGCTTGGAAATTGTTTCTATTAAATAATCTTTAACTTATCGAATCAAATCTATAAATTTAAGCTGTTTTGATTTATGTCTTGAAGAAGTTTGCAAGACAAAGTTCAAAGTGCACTCTGATATTCTTGGTCTCATTTACCTGGCTGAGGAATGTAGGGTATGGCACCTGGAAAGGAAACAATGAAACTGATGAAAACGAACATTTCCTTTCATTAAACTGCCTCAAAATAAATTCTGGAGTGATCTACGAACCGATCTTGTAAGTTCTCTGCTTCCACAAAAGCCACTGCTGTGGGATGGTGTCCTGCAAAAAAAAAAAAAAGGCAGTTTTATTGTTGAATTTCTGGCCCAGAAAATGTTCAGTATAGTGATTCACAATACACAGCTGTTACCTTGTCAGGTCGCTGCGACACTAAAGTCCACAGAACCAACTCCATAGCGGTCAGGAGATTGGGCGCACGCCCCCAACGCCAAGCTGACTGGAGGTCCTCTAGGATCTTGGCAACTGGTTCTCCGGGCCACACGCTTTGCTGCACATTCATGTGTTTAGAAAGAACAGCTTTTATTTTGAAGGTCCAGTGCAACCGGAAGGGTTTAGTCGCATACTTAAGCTTCCCACCTCAGGCTGGGCCCTCAGGTCTTTGATCCAGTTAAGGATGACAGCTTTGGCCAGCTCCAGGTCCTGTCCGTTAATCAGATCAGGCTGCTTGCCCTCATCCATCTCTGGCCAGCCATCAGTCTGCATCAGTGTCTTCTGCACACAGAAATTCACCTTAAGGTACACACCTTAGCTTTCATACTGCTATCTTTTTTTTAAATAAGTGATATGTTGTCGTTGTTGGGGGGGGAGGGAGGGGTGTATCTTGGCTTGGCACCTTGTTCTCCAGCATGAATGCCGACTGCAGGATGAAGAGTCGGCAGAGAGGAGACGACCAAGCGTCATCTTGGTTACAGATGGGCTCCAAGACTTCTGACCTCTGCAGGAACGAACAAAAACAGGGAACAGCTTAGATAGATAAAAATGTTCTGAGAAGTTGAGGGGAAAAAAACAATACTCTAGATTGCTCTTGCAAATATGCTTCTTTCATGTTGAAGCTGTACCTGACAGACCCGGCTCAGGTCTTTAGCCAGCTCCACCACAAACAGCTGATCCTCATCCAGAGGCTCCTTCTTCTCTCTCTTTGCTCTCTTGTTCGACTCCTGACAGAAAAAAAAAAAAAGAACACAAAGGGGTTTCTGTTAGATACTCATCGGAATGAGAGTGATGCTTCAAGACCCACATTGAGGATGCCAGTGCTCGTCCAGAAGTGCTTTACAAAGTAATAATGTCAATCTGGAGAGGAGGCAGTGGCACAGCCTCATCAAAATGCACATCAAGGCTCTAATGGTGTTAGCAGAGACATCCAACTGACTCTTTTCTGCAAAATAAAAGCAAGGAGCGCATCCTAGATAGCCTTGATGACAATGTTTTCAAACGAATTATCTACTTAAGTAACAATGTGACCTAAAAAAATCTAAGTTTGAACATTAAACATGTTGAAGAAAACAACGCTGACCTCAATCTTGGCTGTCAGGTTTTTGGCCGGCTCGACTATGAAGTGAAAACACTGCATCATCTTGGCTGCTGTCTGTGTCCGTATCCCTGCAATGACAGATGTAAGCAGATACTGCTTCCCGAACGCATCATGGGTAGGTCTAATAAAAAACAAATATGACCAGTTTTATTTATTGTTTGCCAGCCTGTGCTGTTGCTCTGCCATGAAGGATAACCGGTTTTTAAAGGAATGTTCAAAATCTGAATGGTTTGGTCAACCTGAGGCCAGTTTACCTGTAACAGTTTAAGTGAAACCTTAACCCTGAAATACATTTTTTTTTACAGTCCATTTCTCATCATAACAGAATTAATTCCTCACGGAAAGATCAAAACAGCAATGCTTCTTGGAAGGAGGTGGACTGTGTGCAAGAGGTTAGCTAATGTTTATGGCCAAAACATCAACATGGACCTTATGACACGTGATGGAAACTTCACCTTTACACAGCGTGATCACAACAGCAATGCTTTGGAGCACCTCTGCAACTTAAACAAACTCAAGGAAGTGCAAATAGTTCGGAAAATAAGTGATCAAGCCAGAAGCTATTATTAACCAGAACGGAACCAGAAAACTCTGGATTTTTCATTTTATTTTTTTAATCAGTTTCCCTCCGTTTACTATAACTTTCCAACTATTCAAGTTTTTCTAATATTGTGTGCAATTGCTGAATGTGTCAGTATGTTCTCTTTCAAACCCCCAAAGCACTGCAAAGTGTGCTTATAACTGGAGCCTGCTCTGGTTGTGTCCTTGTTAAGGTCCTCTCTCTCTCTCTCTCTGAAATCCTCACACTTTCTCTGTTTATGCCACACTCACATTCTCCTACAATCTGCAGAGCAATACAATGCAGACAGACTGTGCATCACAAAACCATCACTGCAGCTCACACAGTCCAGCCCCTATGCTCAATCATCAAGATGCAGCAACAAAACCTGAAAATAAAGAAGACTATCGAAGTTAGTGTTGAATTACGCTTTAAAAAAAAAGAAAATTAAAACATTTCATTTCAGAACGGTTCACGCGGATAAGAAACGTGCCGGATTTCGATTTTAATGCATGCAGCACATCCGGTGATCTTATTCATGCAGGAGCAGAGCATGACCGAGCAGTTTCAGCCCCGACCCAGTTTGAGGTCAGCTGATGACTGCGCAAGAAGTAAGCACGGAGCCGCAGAGCGACGTTTGCAGCAGATTTGCGCCAAAGCGCCAGTAGCTCTCTTCATACACTTTGCAAACTTATTTATGTTTCCCCACTATCACAGAGTCCCATCAAAACGCGTTTTTTTTCTTTCTACACAGTTTCACCCCTGCAGTGCGTCATGCAGATGAACCTCGCTGGTTTTTACGAGTCGCTGAAGCGCAGCTTACCTCAAGATGGAGATTTCAGGAGATTGTGTTTGGGTCTCTTCTTGGTTTAAAAAAAAACTAGAAATCAGGAGGGTTCCGCTCGGGAAGAAGTCCAGCCTGTGTGCTGTAGAGTCTGACCTTGTTTACATACGAACGGGGAGTCGGCTGCTCGGGGAAGTTCGGTTTTCTCCGGGAGTGACGCAAGAGGCTGTCCAATCGGGACAGCGCTGAGTCACGCTGGAGAAATAATAATAAGACTTGTTCACACAGCGTAAGGAGCTGAAAAAGAAAAACCTTCTAATTCATACATTACTAGATATTTTAAACCCTGGGAGCTTTTGTTTGTTTGTTTGTTTGTTTGTTTGTTTGTTTGTTTGTTTGTTTGTTTGTTTGTTTGTTTGTTTGTTTGTTTGTTTGTTTGTTTGTTTGTTTGTTTGTTTTGGGCTAGTTCCGTTGGTGTTGAGTTGAAAAGAAAATGACAGAAAGCAAACGAGTGTCCTTTATTACTGTTTTAAGCATCTTCATCTTCATAGTTTGCAAGTGTTGTTGATTCAATGAGGTTAAAATGCACAGTGAACAATTGTAAGATATGACACGTGGCGTTACAAAAATATCCATATCCTCTTTTTTCATTTTGCAGTTTTAACTGCAAACATGAATGTGTTTTATTGGGGATTTATGTGACAGACCAACACAGAGTTGCGCACAACTGTAAAGTGGACAATTTTGGAATTTTCCTACAAATGAAAATCTGAAAATTGCGGTGGGCCGTTTTTATGTCTCCTGAACTTTTCAGCAAATACTGTTTAAGCGCCTTTTGGTCCAATTAAAGCTGAAAGTCTACTACCTGCTTTGCAGATCTGAAATTTGCGTCAACTCGTCCTTTTTCCATGCAACTGGATATTGAAATAAACACACCTGTGCTGTTTTTTTTTTTCTTTCTTTTAGTTCAGCTATAATCAGTAGCACCATTATTTTATTTAGAGGTACAAGTAAAAATGGGACTGAAAGAAGTGCTTGCCACACTTATCAGATTTTTATCTGCAGGGATCTTTCAGAACCATATATCGTTTTTCTTATGTGACCAACAGAAAGCTCTACTTTCTGATGGTCACATAAAATCCCAATAAAACCACACACACACACACACACACACACACAAAAAGAAGTTTGTTGATGCAACAAGGCACAATGTGAAAAAGTTCACTATTAAATAATAAAAGTAAAGTTCCTAGCAAAGTGTTTTGGGGAATTTGATTGAATTTTCATTACAATTGAAGCCAGATTTCATCTATTAATATTGAACAACAAAACACAAAGCAAATATTTTGTGACCCATCCACATCACAAGAGAAGTCTTCATGATCTGAGCAAACCGATGAGTGCCTGTTTTTTGTTCCTCAGTGAACCTCCGTTCAGTTTATGTTTAAAACGTTCTCCTTTTAAAGTGTAAATCTGGATTTCACAGACAAATCTCTTTACATAGCAGCTTTCTTGAGCACATGGGTTTTCTTTATTCTCTGCTAATCATGTGAAACTTAAATAATGACAGCCCATCATCAAAATAGTAAAATCATTTATTTCTTGCATTTCCACAAAGCAAAAACATGAGACAAATTATTATTCTTCAATAAATACGGCACTGGACGAGTTCAAGATTAAACCAAGCCATGAATGCACAGTGAGGTAAATGAACACAATAATAGCAGATATTGTTGCATAGTGGGAAATATAATAATTAAATTTTTGTGTTTAAGTTATGTATTTGCTCATATTGTGTTTTCCATTTCTTTACTTTTGTTATCTGCTGTAAAACATACTATTTGATTGGTGACTATAGAGGACGATTTTAAGTTGGGTTTTATAGAGTTTTAAAAAAATGATCTCCTTGTTGTTCACTTGTTCTGAGTTGTTCCTCCCACTTTTACAGAGAACGCAAAGTTTTGTGAGCATTTAGATCAACTTTCTTTCTTAAAAGTGAAAATAACTCTGTGTTTGGCACCTTTTGTCTCCCTCACTGGTGGTTGAAACAAATATTTGCTTTACAAATATCTGCTTTACAGGATATCTGAATAAAAACAGACAATCCGTTTTCACCTTATGCTTTATGATAAAAAATTTAACCGCACTGCACACCCTCACCCCCACCGATCCCCTATGAACAGAGCCGCACCCACACCACTGTCATTAATGTGTTCTGTGTTTGTTTATTTTGGTCAGTTTCCTTCGTTAAGGTGTCCCAGCCACCTTCGTTTTTGCATGCTCTGGGTTTTTTTTTTAAGTATTCATATGTGCCTCTGATTAGATGGGATGCAGCTCCTCTTTGGGTTGGGTGTTTGGCTCAGTTTGAGGTATCCGGATCAGAAAGTTCTGTTGAACTCCTTCAGAAACTGAGGTACAACTTCCCTTTGCATTCCTTTGCCAGCTTGAGGACTTGGTCGGCATCATACAGGAGGTAGAACGGTGCTGTCTGTGGTGTAACCTGGGCTCACGCTCATGTAAGCTCTCGGAGGAGGGGGAACATCCAGGTCCGATGACAGGACGTCGCACGGCAGCTCCACAGACTGGCGGATACTCTCCTCATACGACGGAGGAGACTGTATGGATCACAAAAGACAGAGGAGATCTGTGGCTTGTTTCTCCAAATAACATCTTTTTAGGTAACAGATTTTTGTTACTTTCCGCTGAAAATATTTGGGGTTTGTTTCAACAATGAGACAAATTTATGAACACGTGTGTCTTGAGTTTTGTTTCGTCAGAAATGCAAATTTGTTTTTAAGAAATTTCAACTCCCATTGAGGAGACTGTTGCAGTCAGAACCAAATTAATCTCAAGAGTAAACATGAGCAGCGATTCCCAACAAAACTGAATAAATTCCAGCATTTAACAAAAGAAATATTTTCAGGTTTTCACAAGCACCCATAAAACCTCACAAGTATTTCTTAAAATTGACCAATCAGGTTTTTACTGTTAGATATGGACCTGTAGGTTTTGTTTGAGGTGTGATCTGCTGGTTTAGATCAAGTTCAGGTTGTCAGTGTATGACCAACCACAAGTCAGAACTAATTAAAGAAAAACAAGTTCAGTGGTGTTAGTGGCCTCCATTTGATTGTAGTTTTCAGAAAAAATCCACACAATTATGTCCTTTAATAATCAATGTTTCCAAAAACTGTTGCTCTATGTGTTACTGATGTAAAGTTTTTGCTGCAGTGTTTTTTTTAGATTTAAGTCCTATTGACGTTTTGTGAGTTTGAAAAAAAGAAAAAGAGTCAGTAGAATAGAGGGATTTTTAGCTACTTCAATCCACTGCAGTGTTTGTATGTTATACAAAACACTGAAATGCAGAGCTCGTCTGCCAATAAAGTTATATTCATAAACATAAAATGGATGGACGAAAATACAGCTGCTGGACCCAATCACATTTCCTGATTAAATTCCCGTATTGCATGTTTGTGGGGAAAAAAGGGAGCGAGAGAACATTGTGTAGTCTGCAGGGCTTGAAGCCTATTTTTATAGAATAAAAGGAACCTGTTTGTATTTACATTAACAATTAATCCGATCCCACTCCAGCTGGCTGGAACGTGTTTTTTTCCCCCTCATTGACTGCCTGATAAAATCGAGCAGATCCACGCTGCTTTACTGAGTTCTCTTATCTTTTAATTGCTCTGGGACCCTCAGGCAACACGAACAACCCCACACCCTGCACTCTGTCTCACACCACACACTCCGTCCTGCCTCGGGCTGCAGGACAGATGGGGGACAACAAGCGGGCATCCCTATATAAATTCTCGCTCACATTCAGTCCAGAAGGGGGAGGAAGCAGGAGGGATATTTGCTTCTTTTGCTGTGATGGGCAAAAAGCAGCGGGTGTGAGCTCGCTTTCATGCGTGTGTGTCATGTCAGGGAGCGTCTGATTAAGAAAAAGGAGGGAAGATGACAGGAGCACAAAGCTGCTGTCTTGGCCACTGTTTGCAGTCATGGATGCAGCCTCTAATTATGTTTGATGTGCCTTTTTCTCATTACCTTGTTTGCTGGAGCGTTGTGCGAATCCAAAGCTCAGCCGTAGATCAACAGGGTAAAATGTTAAAAGCGGTAACACAATGCAGAGGCACTGATTGTCCTTCCTGATTACCCCGATGTGACTGCTGTCTAATCTCTTGCAGCAGAACTGTCTGTCAGTGAGACAGCGACAGATAAATGCATTTTTATTTAGTGCTAAGCCACACATTGAGCAGACCTTGCATGACTCAAGTGACAACTGTCCCCAGATCCCATAATAAAAAGCTTGACACCGGTTTCATCGTCACATGATCTGTGACTGTATCGGATGCTGCGGCGAGGTCTTGAATTAATTCACCCTAACCTCAGTAACAATGGGTCCACTGAGGCCAAAACGGTCTGCGATCATCATGTGGATCTGCCGCTGGCGGTCCTTCTTTCGGACGCTCTCATAGGAGGGGAGTCTCGGCAGGGTGGTCTCCAGGGTGGGCAAGACGTAGCTGGAGGGCAGACCCACGTAGAACAGCTCACCCGGCAGCTGAGAGGCACAGAGGACGTTGGACATTGAGGCAAAACAATGACTTTGAAATGAAACGCACCGAGTTATGATCCAAAGTTACAATCAAAGGATTGTCTTTGATAGAAATGATGAAGTGGCATCACCTGAGCGACGCCGTCTTCAGGGATGTGAGTCTGCTCCAAACAAGAAGATCCAACCAGAGTCTGTCTGCTGCTGTAGTACTGAGGGGGAGCATCCTGAAACAAATTTTTATACAAATAAATAAAATTTTATATTCATACAAATAAAGTTTTCTTGCCTTATTCTGCCTAATTTGGAAAAAGCCTATGCGTAACCTGTCATACACAACAAGGAAAGTATAAAGTGTTATCCAGATAAGCAGTCAAGACACAGAAGAATATTTTTGGAGAAGCCGCAAAGAAACATGAATCAAATAGGAGAAACAAATCTTGCTAAAATAGAAGAGTGGGAAGAAGGAAGCCATTAATGAAAACAGTGAGAACCATGTTTGTAGTTTCCCACAAGCAATGGAGCAGAAACACTACGCGTGTGGATAAAGGTGCTCTGGTCAGACAGAGCCAAAATGTTAACTTTTAATACCCTGAACACAACTTGCCCACTGTGAAACATGTTGGTGGATGCATCCCACTGTGGGAAATGTTTTTCTTGCTCATTAAAGATTTAGAAAAGACGGGTGGAAGAAAAGCTGTTATAGGCTGCAAGACATACAACCAGAAACAGAAACAGCTCAGTTAGAAGAGTCATGTTAATGTTACAATGGCCCAGTCAAATTACAGAGTTAAATCTAAATGAGAATCTGTGGACAGATGTTCCATCTTTGTCCTGATTCAGCTGCAGTTATATTTTGCAACAACAACAATAAAACACAAGTAAAAATGTTAGTCTGCCTGTGAAAAACTCTGCTAATTTCTGTTAAATCCCCCCAAAATACATATATGCAGTGTGTTGAAGTTTGTGGTGGCAACGTGACAAAAGTATCAGAGTTCAAGAGCTAATCGTACTTTTACAGGGACTCTGTATTCATTCGTTGTTTCCCCATCTCTGTGGCTTTCTGGCGATTAGCCAGAGAGCCACTAACTTCAGCCCAATTGACCAATTTTCATGCCTTGTTTCATCCCTGTGGGCCCCGGACGGTTTAGAAGCACCATAAATTATTAGATCAATAAGGCAACAACATGACCACCCTCCGATTTCCGCACCTCCTCCTTCCCACACCCCTTTCATCAAGCAAGAAGACCTGTCAGCGTCTCACTGTATGTGGTTCTGGGATGCGGGACAAAAAGGCTGACAGAAAAGCAAGTTAATTGCCTCGCGTCTAAATGAGTGTCCTTTGTGAGGAGAACAATGTGATGTACTGACTGTGTCAGGGGGGTCCAAGAGGTCTTTTGAGTGCTCTCCTTGTAGCTGCGGCAGGTAGCTGTTAATAAGTACGCTCCGGTGAACATTATCTCCCTGCATGTCATGATCATAGCGATGTCAATTTGTGGCGTGGATGACACTTAGTCTGAGTATTGGGAGCAATAGGCTTATTCTGGACTTTGACATTTTATGGCGTTTAGCTGTTCTGAAGTGTAAAATTGATCATTTTCCGAGGGCAGATTAAACTAACGCTTTTCTCACACTCGAAAAAGACGCACAGCGGTGACCTTTGGCTTGACCCCTCGCAGCATATTGGCAAGAAACAGAGGACGCTCGGAAAAGGTGATGGCAGAGGTCTCGTTTGTACTTTAAAAAAGTAGAAGAACGTCCTCAGGAAAGGGGAAAAAGAAAAGAAGGTTTGTCCTTTTGTCGCCTGCCATTGATTCGGCTAGTGTGAAAAAGCACAACCGTGTAAAATCGGTGTTGAAGTCGGGGGAGGATCCCAACAGCGGCTCGTTTTTTTTTTCTTCCTCCTATTGCTTCAAACTAAAGGAGATCCATTGTCTCCGTTGTGTCCCCAACACCCACAGTGAGGTCTGTCCCCTATTCATGGGGGCAAAGTGAAGCAGGGAAAGGTATGTGGCTATGAAGTTGAAGACGTGAAATATCCCTCTGAGAAACAATGAAAGAGGGCTTCTGTTTGTCCTGAACTTTTTCTTAAGTATATGTCCAACAGACAACAGCGTTCTCTGTTCCTGAGTCCTAACTAGATTAATCATGTTCAGGATTTATGATCATTTAAAAGCAAAGTTTCATCTTATGTGTGTGTATGGCCATAACTTGAGGCCAGAGCGGGTCGTTCAGATCTGCAAATTAGACTCTCTTGGTTGCTTAAGCGAGGCGGCAGATCTATCTAATCCAAACCATGGCTGAGCACAGCTTCCTGTCTTGTGAGTGCTTGTGCTCCTGCAGACCAAAGATAGCGCTCAAGCCTCACCCCTGGGACTAATGGAGATGAGAACCAAGTCAGGAAAAGGGAAGTGGAGAGAACGGTTGCCATCTTTGAACTGTTTCCGCACATTACCTCCTGGTGCACCGAGCTGATAATCGAGCGTGTTGGAAAAACACATTTTCATATGTTTTTCCAAATTAGAACCTCAATCCCGAGTATTTTTGGTCTATATAATAGACCAAAAATAGTTATAAAATGAATGAAAATGTCACTTGTTAAATTTCACAACAAAAAATAAAAATATATATGATCTTTTCTGACAATAGTTTGTTGGAACATATGCGATTACAGCTGCAAGTCTTTTGAGGTCTCTCATTGCCAGCTTTGTACATTGATATTTTCCAAATAGTTTTTTTTGCAAAGTAGCTCCAGCTCAGTTAAACTCTTTGTGAATGTCGATGTTCGGTTTTTCCACAGACACAAAATTATGCGTCTCTCCAAACCATTTTATTGTAACTCTGACTTTATGCAACAGGAAATACAACATGAAAATCCGCTCCCTTTTATGTTGGTGTGTTCAAGGTAAAGTCCTGCTCTACATTTCGTTTTGCATGAAGACACGCCTGACCAGACACATTGTTTCTTCTGCTTGACTTGTTCCAGACTTCAACCACAATTTCTTAAGGCGTTTGCAGTTGTACCACAATCTTTCAGAGTTTAGGTGGGGGAATTGAACGCTTGGAATATTCACACAGAATGTCAGTAAAAAAAAAACCAAAGAAGCGATTTGCTCTGATTTAATTACATTGGTGGTGAAGTTGCATCAGTATGCACGGTGAGAGCTAATTCTGTCCAATTCCATTAGAATCACAGAGTCTCTGTGAGATATTTCTGGAGGGCAGTTAATTCAGACTGAAGCGAATCCATTGCTGCAGAACGATGATATCAAGCTTATTTGGCTTTCGCCACAGTCAGGCAAAACGTAATCTGACACTTGTTAACGGTCCTGCACCCACTTCTCCCTCTTGTCAGGGTGTCCTGCAGCACTGAACATACAGATCACCTTCAGAAGAAAGCTCAGCACAAGGGAAACTTTTCACGGCATCGCGTGTTCATTTATTTTTTTTGGTCCCTCTCTGAATAACTCACCATATCTGCGTGTGGGTCCTGATAGGAGCCGTGTTTGCAGCACTGGGGATCTTTGCGGTAAATAATGGAAAGCAGCACGATGACGACGAAAAAGAACACCAGGGAAGAAACTGTCTCAAAAGAGAAAAGGGGAAATAGTTAGAAATAGTTAAATCATTAGTAATTACTGCTTGTTTATGAGGACACATTGTGGCGTAATGTTTCACAATCAAAATTCAAAACCTTCACTTTGAACAGAGGTGCAACTTACAATCTGCTCTAATAAGAGATCGCCAGCTCAGTTGCTTATAGCTATTTTTTTTTTTTGTTTCATTAAATGCTTCAGAACGAAAACATTACTTTCCTGAAACTTAAATGTACTGTCAAAAAAACAAAACAAAAAACATGCAGAACATTTATGTTTCACTTGTTTTAATATATTTTCATGCCTCCAATAAAACCAAAAACTGATGTCAGCCCCCAAAAAGGTTTTTGACTGGTGCATCTCTGCTCAGCTGCTCAACAATTATCGATAGACACAAAATCGTTGGATGTAAATCAGATAATCTCATTGGCAGCAGCTGAAACACATAGCTGAGCTTGATGCAAGCAGCATCGGGATGTTTCCCTCTTCTTGGAACTTGTTTGACTAAGTTATGAAAAGTAAACATTGAGCAGGATTGGCGTTTAATGGTCTACTTACAGGAGGCAACGAGCACCATGAGCTGATCCGAGGTCAACTGTGAGGAGGGGATGGTCGGGCTCGCAAATGTGGACATTTCCTCTGCTTGGAAAATGAAAGTTGCTTTCACAAATCTTCCCGAGCTCGCCAGGCCTCAGTGCAAATGCTCTCATCTTACACCTCAGGAAGAAAAGAAAAAAAGAGTAGAGAGAGAGAGAGAGAGAGAGAGGAACTCCAGTTTAGTGGCTCCTCTTCACGACTGCCATCTCCGCGGGGGGGACACATGCGCTCTGCAAGTCAGGATCCCAAACTCTCCTCCTCTCTCTCCTCCTGGTGAACACGCTGCAGCATTAAGAGCGCGTAAAAAGCGCACCGCCCGCCGCCCTCCAGCAGGCTGCGTGGCAGCAAACGCTGCCGCCTCCGTGCACTGATACAACACGCTTGTGATGCGGGGATTGTTTGGGAGCGGTTTGTTTCAGTTGGTGTCTGTGCGCACGTCAGATTACAGAGAGAGAGGCTTGTAAACAGGGCGAGTTGCTGAGCTGCTTCCTCCGCGGGTTTAATTAATGGCATCCAGACTACGGCAGGTTAACACACGACGTGCCTGGGGCTGAGTCCCGTCACCCTGGAGACGGTGGGGGTCCCATCCTGAGGGGATTTCTATGCAGACAAAGAGCAAAAAAAAACCAAAAAAAAAATAATAATGTAGCATTGGTATTCATGAGTGGATTTCTGTCTAAACGGCCTGCTTGTATTATATTTCAAAATATGTGGATTAAGGAAAGATTTTATATTGTGGCAAACTTTTGCAGAGCCAGTGAATATGAGATCTAGCCTCCCATAAAGGAAAGGCAATAGTTACATTTTTGTCATGGACTTCATCAACTGTAGATTTGATCTGCTGACAGATCAACAAATTAAAGGTTATGGAGGAAGTGGGGTGTGTTCACAGACTTCTGAATAGATATCAAATTATTTAATGTGCAGTGCCTTGCAAAAATGACTTATCTTGACTTTGAATCACACTACTTAATAAAATAATTATAATGATTTTGAACCAGCAGCTAAAATGCACAGTTTTCAAAGTTGCAACTGAAAAGAAAAATAGGACTGAAATATTGTAAGAATCTTTTACACTCACACTCCAAGATAAAATCCAGAGCAAACAATAGCTTTCAGGTATGACTTGACATGTAAAAAGGTCCACAGCTTTGTCAAGACTGTTGATAGGACAACTTTATAAGCACTGCTTTAAAAAAGTGTTGGCCCTTTACAAATGTCTTCCTCTTTGTTGCAGTTGTTTCAGTTTTACTTTAAAAATGAATAAAAAATTGATGAGTTGCACTTCCAGCTTCTGCCCGATTGAGATGGGATCACAGTTTCCATCTGCTAGATGCAGTTCCAGAGCCTTAAGTGCCTCTTTGGGTCTGTGTCTCTTTTAATATTTCAAACAATAAAATATTTCCCTCATTTTTTACTTTCTACATTTGTTTTGCAAACCATTATAAAAATAAAAAACACTGGCTTGTCCCTAATAAGTTTGGTCCACTGAACACTGGCTGTATGTTTTCAAGTGAAACTGTACTAATAACTAGATCATTTTTAACTTGAAATACTTTTGTAATAAAACTTTAACTATAGCAAACTAAGCCAAAACATGTGATTACAAACAATTGATTGTCAGGAACAGATGTACAGTGCCACTGCGTCTTAAATTTATTTGTCCAATTTTTTTTAATCGCCCCACTTGTCTTTAAAAGTTGGCAACTCTATATATTTGTGAAGAAAGACTGAGAGAACATGCTGTATGATTTAAGTTTAGACAGGGGGAAAGCAGTCCCCTAAGAAGTACACAGAAACATAACAAAACCCAACCAGTTACTTAATATTAATGCAGCTCTAAGAGTGAAGAACCGTTTGAGAAGCAGAAGAGCCGATTCTTGCTCGTAAGCGGAGCCAAATCGGTCGAATCCCCAAAACGAACCGGAACTCTCACCCTGAGCACAGAGCGACCCCGCGTGGACGCTCCGCTCAGAACGTGCCGTGCTGGAAAAATGGTGGCCAGCGTGCGAGTCCAAAAGCTGCTTCGACGGTATAAACTAGTGATTTCCGCTGCTTTAATGATCCTCCTGATCCAGGGACTTGTGGTTTGGAGTCTTAGGAGCTTGGAAGAAGGCCCACCAGAGGTGAGAAACTGTCCCACTGACTATTTTATAGACATGGCTCTGATTTTGTTCGGATTAGCCGTTGGCGTTTAGCTCAGCTCTCTGTGAGTTATTAACTGTAACGATAGCTTATGTTAGCGCTTAGCAGAAACATGTTACTGATGCTGGACCAGCCTTGCCTCTGTTGTCATTTATCACAAACGCTCAAGGGAAACAAGAGAGTAGAGTGTTCTTGTTTTAACTGTACATTTTTTTGGCTCTCACTGTGGAAAGCTGAATGAAAACGAAGTTGTTTCAGAAGCAACAGTGGGGCTCTGTGCTGCTTGTTGTCATGCTGTTTCATCTGGCTCCTCCAACTAGAGAAAATGGCAATCAAAGACAGGAGACAGAAAAAAAACATCTAATAGGGAAGTCGTTTATTAAGTAATTCAGTTAGTCTGCGTAAGTCTGAGTTACGCGATTAAGACCCTTGATAGGAAGTAAACTATCAATCTGAGGCTCTGTTGATAGCCAGAGTTCAGGTCCAGGCAGAGGAAAATATGAAATGTTCATATTCATAAGCTCAATTTTCCAGGTTTTAAAAATTCTGGAAAAAGAAAACCTTAAAATTGAAACGCGATTTTAAGTCCACACTGACACTTCGTCTAAATTGAATTAAGTTCGAAGATGCTTGAATTTCGAACTTGTTATGTTAGTCAAGGTTGTTCAAAGAGTTCTTGTAGATGCTGACGACTTTGGGCTGGAAGGATGTCCTGTAGCAATCTGTGTTACACGAGCTCTGATGAAGCTTCTGACTGAAGTTATTGTTGTAACTTTTTCTAAACTTGCTCTTGGCATCGTCATCTCCTAGTCCTCCACAGTGGTCCCCAGAACAGAATCAGCCTTTCTTTATCTTCCTTTGTTTAAAGTTTGGTTCTGACGCTATTAACCAAACAGATGATTGTACTGGCAGAAAAAGACTTATAGGAGATCTGCAGCACACATTGAGGGATCTTAGTTTCCTCAAGAATCAAAGTCTACTCTATCCTTTCTTATAGACGACTTCACTGTTGCATCTCCAGTCCAATCTGTTGTCCAGATGAACACTGATGTGTCTGTATTCCTCATCCACCTCTACTTCTTTTCTCAAAATGGAAATAGGGTCCGGTTCAACCCCGTTTCTCACAAAGTCTACAGTCACCTTCTTTATTTTGTTTACATTCGAGATGAGATAATTGTTTTCACGTGACAAAGTGATCCATCAGCTCTCTCAACTCAGCTTCTAGTCCATCAGTGATACACCTCAGTCTCATCTGAGTATTTCTGTACTTATGCTGCCAGTCTGAAGTGTACAGAGTGAAAAGTAATGGTGAGAGTACAGCGCCCTGTGGTGCTCCTGCGCTGCTGACCACCTGGTTGGACACACAGTCCTTCAGGCTCACAGGCACTCACTGATCCAAGAAATAAATTCACCCTTCTCATATCATTATAAAATGGTCTGAAAATGAATTAATAACCCTGGAGCTGTGAGCCTGGAAGTTCATTTAACTCGTAGAATACCCAGAGTGCTTTCTAGTTTAGTTTTTACCTCCCTTTTCATCAGAATCTGCTGCTTTATTTGTTTATAAAGAACATGACCTGGATACGAGCTGAAGTTGAAAATAGGCTCAACCTGCTCAGGTTGTGCTTGTACAAAAAAGAAAAGAAAAAAAAAAACTTGGGAGTGCTTCACCACGTTGAAACCTGAGGATGTGATGACCTGAAAAGTGTGGAGGGTAGATTTGTGGGCGGAGCTTTGAGGGTTTGATGGGTTGCGTGACCTTTGTCTCAGATAAAGGTAGACAACCGACTTCCCAGGTCTTCAGAGGAGATTAGTGCTGCAGATCATTTCCGTTTAAACCCCTAAGCTCATCAGAAAGCTCAAGGCTCAATTGGCCGTAGCCTTGGCTCCTCTCCATTTAGTCAGGATAAAATCTGGCATCTTCAAACAACGAAACGCCTGCATTTAAATATCAAACACTCGTCCTTTGTTTTATTGACTTAAAGGAAGGGTGAATCAGTTTGCCGTAACCCCCTGTAAGGCCTAGCTGGAGGCAGAGAGCGCTCTCCTTAGTGCGGAGGTCAGCCATATATTCCACTGTGTTGGCAGACAGCTATGCAGATGTCAGCACCAAGTCTGTGTGCGCCCGATGCAGAACGCTAAAAGACCATCGGCCCTGAGCGAACACACTCAGTCACATGCGTTTCACTAAGCCCCTTTGTTGCTCGAGAGAGAAGGGACAGACGAAAACCGGAGTCTTCCTCATCCTCATCCCCCCGTCTCCTTCGTTGTTGAGTCCCGCTCCAGCAGATGGTGACTCTGATTCGTTCTCCCTCCACTTTTAATTGGGAAATAAAGGCTCTGCCTCGCCTGCTTCTCAGCCCATGCGTTTTTGTTTTTTCTTTCTGAAACAATGATTTTTTTTTTTTAATTAAAAGCAGTGAAAGCCAGTTGATAAGGATAATTGAAACTTCAGCCTGGTCATGCGTGCTGGATGTACGAGATTTTCTCTCGTTGCTGGAAAAAAAAGAAGAAGAAACTTCTGCAAAAATGAAATCCAGACAAGGATTATTATGAGTTGCTTCTAAAAGCAGAAATCACGGTTGTAGCAAATTGTCAACGTTTTGCTGCAATTTGCACTTGGAAGTGAATCATAATTACATTTTTGCTGTTATTGAAGAATGCTGATTTATGCTAAGCCACCATTCGAAGCAATATCTTTCCCAGATTTTGTCACGTTGACACTTCAAATTTCTATGTATTTCATTGACATCAAAAAAAATGGCTGGATGACGAAGTACTTCAACCTGGTGTATTGGTCTCAACTGACTATTGTATTTGTTGCTTTGGTTATATATGGTGAATATTTAATTAAAAAGGTCCAGTGTTCAACACTTGACCTTTGAGAGGGCATATTTGCATTATGTTGGTTGGAAATGGTCTCGTAAAACAGCAGTATTGTCATTTACCACAGTAACTTCTGAAAATGTATCGTGACGGG